CCTCTTGTTCTCTGCACCTTGACCAGTTGTGGGTTTCTACATTAATCACAGTCTGCTGCATAAAGAAGCTTCTCTGGTGAGAGTTGAAAGATTCATTAATCTATAGGTATAACAAGTCATTAGAAGTCAGTTTAATAGTATATCTATTTAGTAGGAAACTATTATTAGGTTCTCTCCTCAATGCCCCATGACCTGTCTAGCCTCAGGTTCTTAGGCCTGATATCAGTGTCAGGTATGGGTTTCATCCTATGAAGCAGACCTTAAATCCAATTAGAAAGTGGTTGATTACTCCCATAATATTTGTACCACTATCGCATCAATGGGTATATCTTGCCAGGCCAGTTGTAGCTTGCAAGATTCACAGCTGGGTAAAGTTGATGATCAATTTTCTCTTCAGGTAACATGCAAAGTACCTTCCAGCACTATGAAAGTTAGGCAGTAGAAATGAGGCTTGAAAGTCAGCAGAGAAATATCTTAATAAAATGCTTTTAAAAAGCTGATGCTTGCCTTTAATCCCAGCACTTGGGAGGCAAAGGCAGACAGATCTGAGTTTGAGGCCAGCCTCATCTACATAGTGAGTTCTAGGCCAGTAGGGGCAACAAGGAGACCCTGTCTCAAAAAGACCAAAAAAAAAAAAAAATGCTTTGAAAAGACTTGCATCCAATCTGGTGAGATGGCTCAGTGGGTAAAGGCACTTAACACCAAGCCTGATGATCTGAGTTGGATCCTCAGGACCCACATGGTAGAAGGAGAGAACTAACTCTCACAAGCTGTCCTCTAACCTCCACATGTCCACATGTATACCATAGTATACATGTGATTCACACACATAATAAATGACTGATGATAGATGATAGATAGATAATGATAGATGATAGATAGATAGATAGATAGATAGATAGATAGATAGATAGATAATAAATACGTAATAAGAAATGTAAAGGCTTGCATCATTTTTTTTTCTTTTGGACTTTTATTAAGACAGGGTCTCCCTGTAGCCCCAGCTGGTTTGGAACTATGTAGACCAGGCTGGCCTTGAACTTACAGAGATCTGCCTGCCTCTGCCTCCCGTGTGCTGGGATCAAAAATGTGCACCACCACACCGGCTTTGCATCATTTTTTTTTTTAAAAAGAGTAGACCTGTGAGTGAAAACCCAGAGAAATTGGTCAGAGAGGCCCCAGAACCCTAAAAAACAAAACAGGCTATTCCCATTGCCATTGCTCTTGGCTGTCCAACAGAGCTAGATGATAAGGCCCTGTTGCTGAAAATACCTTATGCTTCGGTTGCAGGACATAGAGAAATCAAGCTGAAATGAAGCTAGAAGCTTATTCCCTGCTGGCTAGATTTCATGGTGCCAGAGGTGCTATGGGGAAGAAAAGCCATCAGTGGTCTTACCTAGCTGTGAATCCTGGGAACTACAATACCCACCTGCCCAGGAAGACATGCTTACTGGTGCAGTAATGGCATTACCGATATATGAGTAAACATATTTTGTTAGATTCGAGTCCCACCCCACAGAGGGGCATTCATGCGTGGTGCTACATACCTACCCAAAAGCCAATGGCTGAGAAAGTCATAGGCCCCCAGGGAGAAGCTACTACTACTATTTATTTTTTCATTTTGACAAATGGATGTAATGACAAACTGCCTTCTAAGTGTTTGTGTTTGGGGCTGGAGAGATAGTTCAGTGGTTAAGTATTTGTGTTCACACCCATAGACTAGTGCTGTTGTGTCAGCCTTGGTCAGAGAAGCTTGCTTGCAGTAGGTGACAGTTCATGTAGAGAAGGGTAACTGGTCAAATTGCTGAGAATAAGTGACTGCTGAGTGCTCTTCCCTAAGTGGGACATCTACATCACCCCCTACTAGGCTCAAGGAACAATGGGGCAGAAAGAATGTAAGAGCCAGAGGATGTGAAATGCTATCTTCTAGATATGACGATTGTTGTACCCATGAACTCACAACAGCAGTGGTTACAGGCATAAAACTGAGCCCATTGATATTCTACCATGAATGGGAGAGGGGCTCATGACGCCCAACCTCCCTGAGGAGCTAGAGGCAGGTAACTGATGCTGGGAGAGGGATATCATATGCTTCAGGGGTATAGCCGCTGGTAAGTTCCCCTTGGTCAAGTAAAAACTCCCAGTCACGAAAGCAACCCTAACTAAATGCAGCGAGGCACACTAAAACAAATGACATAAAAGGGGGCTAGTTAAGAGAGAGAGCAGGAGAGATGGGGGATAAGAGAGGATAATGGGGAGAATATGATCAAAGTACATTATATATATTACATGTATATATTACATATATATGTATGAAAGTGTGAAAGGATAAACAAATAATTAAAAGGCTTGTATCATTTAAAAAAACAACAGTATAGGTGAGTGGGTAAGAACCCAGGGAAGTGTCCAGAAAGGGCAAATGAATCAGAAGGCAGGTTCCCTTCCTTCTAGACACTCCACACTAAGCTTCGGGGCTGTGTTGGGCCTCTACCTGCCCCACAGCCTCTGATGCAGCACAGTGCCTGCAAGGTTTGGCTCCAATGACATCTTTCTCACAAAGACACCTCTAATTTACCCAGCAGGCACTGAGCCCGCCCTGCCTTGCATGCTCCTGGCTTGTTCTCTAAGTTTCGCCACACTCTGCCTCCTCCTAACATGATTAAAGGACAGCTGGTATGTGCTCTTTGCACTTCTACTGCCAGAAACAATGTGATGATTAAAGCCATCTTGGACCCCAAATGATGGCCATGCTTAGAGCAGGGATGTGTGTGTGTAGAGCTGGAGGATTAAAATTCCTGAGGGCTATGTGTCAGAAACAGCATACCAATCCAGTATAACAAATACCCACTCCCTAAATGATAGCAAATGCTTTTTGAGACAGGGTCCTACATAGCGCATATTGGCCTCAAATTGATAGGAGGCTGGAGGGGTGGATAGGCACATGTTTACATTCTGTATTATAGGGGGACATTTATATTCCAACATTGGAGAAAGGAATCTGCACATATGCATTGCTAATGGTTTGTTTGCTTAGCAGCCTTGGGAGTATGGGACTCTCACTACACAGAGAAAAACAGTAAGGAGGGGAAAGTACAGGAGACCAGAAAGAGGAAAGCACAGATACCAGGAATTTCAAAGGCAAGGATGAGTCCTGACCAGATACAAGACTAACTTTTGGAACGACTATCTTTGCTCCCATTCCCTGTAAAGTATGCTAGCTAGAGAAGAGAGGGGAAGCCTGATTTGAGGGATCTAGTGGGGGGAGACAGATTTGTGGGATATTAACCCCATCTTCCCAGATTGCCAGATGTAAATAAAGCACACCTTAAAGACTCAGTTCCTGTCTCTGCAGGTTGGCCTTGATGGCTATAGGCAGCACAAACTCAGATCCTCCGTTTACAAAACTTGAATATTCCTGCCTCAGCCTCCCAAGTGCTAGGAGTACATGAGTGCACCACCACACCCAGTTTTGAAGAGACAAAAACACTTTATGGTGACAAAGGCACCACATCCATATTATGATACATCCTATAAACTAAGCAAAGTCAGTGTTGCAGGCAAATGCCAGAAGCTAGGAGACAAGATTCGGGTGACAGAGGACACAGGCCCTACCCTCACCTTCTAGAACTTTCTCCAGAACGGGAAGAGAACAAATTTCTGTTGTTTCCAACTACCAGGAATGTAGTGATTTGTCACAGCAGCCCAAGTAAACTAATAGAGTGGCTGTTGTGTTAAGTTTTTTCAAGAAGATGTGAGTAAATGTCTATTTACCACAGCTAGGGCACCATCAAGAGACCAAAGTAAAGATTCCACCAAAGTCCAGCCTGGTGAACCTACGTTTATTGGGCTTATTTACAGAAGCATGGCTGAGGGGTTGCTTACAAAGGTACAGGTGACCCAAAAGTAGCAATATCACTGGGAACTCCCATCCCGTCATGGCCTTCCATCTCATGGAATCCCACTTTTAGTTAACCCTCTACTTTCCATGTACTCTAACATCTCCCAAGAACACTTTCAGCTAGGGGCGAGGAGTAAGGCTAGAATCTCAGGTGAAGGTCCTGTGACGCGTCTCTCCCAGGCTACCTTCTACTACTGTTTACAGCTCTATTATCATTACCATATTGGTCAGCTTATTAGTTGCCATGGCTACTGGGCCAAAATCATTCCAAGATGGCCATAGGACAACCATATTATGCCAGAAAAAAAAAAAAAAGCCCCTCACACTACCACAATGGTGGGACCCCAGGTCACTGCCTATGGGAACATAGGTCAAGGTCAGTAAGACAGGGGATGACTGAGACAGTAAGTTGGGGCTGGACTGGAAGGATCTATCATGTTACCCCCATGCAGGGTGTTGGACTTCATTACACAGGCAGCCTAGAGTGGCAGAGGATAAATTAAGTTGGCAAATAATTCAGTTCTATGTAGATTTCAGAGGAGTGAGAAATAGCCCAAGCAGAGTGGACTTGAGTTCAATTTGTGAACTTGACCCAAATTCGCTGATTGTTTTCAAGATGTATTCCTTTCTTTCAATATAATTATGAGAATTTGACGTACACGTTTGTCATTAACTATGGATAATTTGGTGCTTACTAACTCAGGCCCTGTTTTTAGCCATAATCTGCTCACCTCGGTTAATCCTAGCAACTGCCCCACAAAAACAGGGATAAGGAAGTACTTAGGAAACAGTTCCACGGATAGGTAGAGGCTTCAAAGTAAGGCCACCCTGGTCTTAAAGGCTGTGAGACACTGGGAAAAGGACTTCCTCGGAGTCAGTCTACATCTTCTCACGTTTCAAAATAGCACACTAGCAGTCGCCTCTGCGGTCCGGCTGATGCTGCGCTGAGCCCCGGCTGCACCGAGTCCTCACACACCCTAGACTTCTCGGATAGGTTTCATAGGCTGTCATCATGGGTTTCCGGGGCCTCCGTGGAGACATTGCCGCCCCCGACCGCCAGGGGCCGCTGTGACTCGACTGGCGCCACGAGGCCGCTCTAGCCTAGCCCGGGGAAGTCACCGTCCTCACCTTTGTAGCAGCCCGCGCCTCGGTGCCTGCAGCGGCTTTCCGTGTTCTCCGTCTTGCTGCTGCCCACTGCCCTCCTGCCGCCCACCATGGCCCTGCTGCACTCAGGCCGCGTCCTCTCTGGGGTGGCTGCCGCCTTCAACCCAGGCTTCGCCGCTGCAGCCTCTGCCAGAGCCAGGTAAACGAGGGTTACGGAGATGGAGCGTGGACCTCAGGCCTGCCCCTGCACAGCCGAGCTGTGGGTGCTGCAGATCCTGCCCCTGGGCCGCATCCAGACACTGGCACACATGCTCCTACATCTTCCTACAACATCGCCTAGGCTTCCTTGCCCTGCGGACTGAGGCTGGAGCGGGCAGGTCCCCTCATCCCCGCCCTGCACCACAGGACCGCGAGGCACCCCACCCCCGGGGGACAGCAAATGTGGCCCTCTGCGGACTCCCATTCCAGCGGAGCCTGGGGGCCTGAGATGCCCAGTGTGCGCGATGGGGTGCGGGGCGAGGGAAGAGCATGCGGGCGGCGGCGCCGGGCCAGCCTCGCGCTGATTGGCTGTGGCGCCGGAGCTGCTGGGCGGTGATTAGCTGCGGCGCCGGGGGGCGCGCGTGCCCTTGACCGACTGCCCCTGTGGGGCGGCGGGCGCACTGGCCCTGGTCCCTCTGGCCCTCGCGGATTCGATCCCGCCGCAGCGGAAGCTGCAGAGGCTGTGCACCCGAGGGAAATGAAACGGGTGGAGGGAGATTCTCGGGGTGCCCAGACCCGGTTCCTCACTGCATCCGTGACCTTGGCGTGCGGCATCCTCCCATCCGTGTCACCGCCCAAGTCCTCGGTAACACACACTCCTCCCCCGGGTGACCCGTCTGGTCTTTGGATGGGAAAGGGTCTCGTTTTAAGGCCCTCCGGAGGCTCGGTCTTCTGGAAGCCATCAATCTTCCTCTCCATCTCGCTTTGCTCTGTTGCCCTGTAAATTTTCGCAACCTAGTTTCTCCTCGGCAGGCACTGGACCAATTGCTGTTGATGCCGCGTTAAACACGAGAGGATAGATTTCGCTTTAAAAAATGACAAATGTGTTGGGCGTGGTGGCGCACGCCTTTAATCCCAGCACTTGGGAGGCAGAGGCGGGCGGCTCTCTGTGAGTTCAAGGCCAGCCTGGTCTACATAGTGAGTTCCAGGACAGCTGGGACTACAGGGAGACCCTGTCTCAAAAAGACCAAAAAAAAAAAAAAAAAAAAAAAAAAAAAAAAAGACAAATGTGTCATCTCGAACTGTGATTGACAGTGCTGAGGGAAAGTTCGGGGCCTAAACTGAGCTGATAATTCCTAATTCTCTGGACCAGGTGACCACTCGGGAAGCCGATTTAAGACAATCCCTGAGACTGCTAAAGCGCTGTAGTGCATATACTAACCGATCTTCTTGACCTTTTATGCTTCCTCAGCCTTTCCTTTGAGCGTGTACTGGAGGCCTTCAAGGCAGCAGAACAGTCTGTCCTTTCTGAGCCCATTTTTGGCTATCTGCCAAAGTGTGCCCTTTAAGCCTACCCACCTGATGGGAAGAATTACGGAAGAGTTATTTATGCAGTAATTTAGAGAACAAAAAGGAGTAATTCTGTAGGCAAAAGAAAACCTGTTTCACGGTTGATGTTGACCTTAAAATAATTTGTTTTATGGATGCAGCTGGAAGGACTGAGTTTTACTTCAAGTGTGTGATGAAATTTCCTTTGGGTGTAACTGTTCTGTCATCCTTTCAGTTTGAGGGCCTGACTAATGTTACTTTTTTATCTTTTCCGGTTAGCCTCTTAAGTTACAGGAGATCAGAGACCTTGCTTACTTTGTTTACTGTTGTATCTCGCTATTTACATCAGTGCCTCTCATGGCTTTTGTTTGTCTCTTTGGTCTTTTGAGATAGTCACATCATGTAGCCCTGCCTGGCCTGGAATGTGCTGCAATTGACCTGTCTGTGCCTCAGGGTCACTTCCCGAAGCTTCCCTGAGCCCTGGCATGTCTTTCACATTAAATATTTTTTATTTTATTTCAAACCTCTTTTTTGTCTATTTGAGACGTCTTCCTGTAGCCCCAGCTGTCCTGGAAACTCACTATATAGACCAGGCTGGCCTCGAACTCACAAAGATCCTCCTGCCTCTGCCTCCCAAGAGCTGGGATTAAAGGCGTGCACCACCACACCCGGCATTCAAACCTCTATTTTTAAAATAAATAATTTTAATATTACATTTTTAGGTCAAAGTCTAAACATAAATGGAAGTGTTGGCTGCAAAATATGTACCAAAACACAAAGTGTTAGACTGGAGTGGCACATTCCTGTAATCCCAGCACTCAAGGAGGCTGAGGCCGAAGGATTGCCCCAAGTTAAAGGCCAGTTTCCTGGGCTACATAGTGAGTTCCAGGACCAGCCTGGGCTATAGTGAGACCCTGTCTGAATAGATAAATGAGGAGAACTTGAGGGAAACCGATTTACAAGCTGTGGAGCACTAGATAGGCTTAAGCCTCTGGGAAATACAAAGCATTTGAACTAGATAGAAATGCTTATCTGAGTACTTTGTACCTAACTCTTCTGGTTGGGTGGTCACTATTGCTCAATTTTGAAATTGTGTGCTTCTGTCCAAAGGGCATTGTTAGGAATCACTGTTTAGGCCACAGGTTATCAGTGTCATTACCCCGCCTCCACACTTGTTTTTATATATTGTAATATCTTTTAAAAATCAGAGCTCTGCCGGGCATAATGGCTCATGCCTTAATCCCAGCACTCGGGAGGCAGAGGCAGGCAGATCTCTGTGAGTTCAAGGCCAGCCTGGTCTACATTAGTGAGTTCCAGGCCAGCTGGGGCTACAGGGAGACCCTGTCTCAAAGAGACTATAAAAAATCTGAGCGCTTTCATGTGTATAATCTTCATTTTATTTTTATTTCAATGTTGTATTATTTTTTATGTGTATGAGTTTATTGCCTGCATGTAGTATGTAAGTGCACCTGTGTTGTACAAAGCCCTTGGAGGTCAGAAGTGGGTGTTGAACTCCCTGGAACTGGAGTTACAGATGGTTAGCTGCCATGTGGGTGCTGGGATTCAAACCCCAGTCAAAGCCAGTGCTCATAACCACTGAGCCATCTCTCCAGCCCCCAATCTGCACTCTTTTAAAGAGCAGAATAATTAGGGACATAGAGAACTTGGAACTTGATGATTCCTGTAGGGCTAATCAAAGTATCGCTGCTCTGCTCCTATGCTTAGATTGTTTACAATTCAATATTTTAAAATTGTTTTTGGTGTTCTTTTTAAGAGGTAAACCAGAAGACTCATGGCTTTGGTTTCTGAGAGAATTTCTGTGCTATTTTTAATTACTAGAAAGATAGGTGTTTTCACACTTTTACCAGGAATGATACTGTCTGACCTTGTAATTAGGGGTAGCTCTGTAATCATTGTTTAAGAAGGATCTTTTTAAAAATGAAAGTTGCTTTCTAGACCTTTGAACGTCCTTGACATTCAAAGTATCCCTTTCACTCAGCAGTTAATGACAGTGATGTGATAGGCAGGTGGCTGTGTGGCCTCTCTCTGAACTGGGGGAAAAAATAACCACAACTTTTTTTTCTGGCCCATTTGTATTCTTTCAAGATATGTGTGCTTTTTCCCTCACAGCCTAGACCAACAGTTAAAAAGAGGGGTGTGAAGAATTTGATTCCTGGCCCTAGAGCTTGGGATGGGAAAGGAGGAGACTGTAAAAAAAAAAAAAAAAATGTTTTAAACCAGAAAGACACACATTTGTTGTAAATTCCTATGGCCATATACAGTTTGAATTCACTGCATATTGATCTTGAAGCATACTAGTGTCTGGGTGGTTACAAATAAAAGTAGAGTGGTGATTTGGAAACAATACCAGTCCATATCAGGTACTCACTCTGTGCCTGACCTTGTTCTAAGTGTTTTTCCATCCTTAAACCAATTCTGCATGATAGATACTGTTATATCTCATTTAACAGGTAAGGAACAGTGAAATTTTAGAGTCACTTTTCTTGCCTCTACCCTCACAATTTGAATCCCTGTGGCTTGCCCCAGGACAGGCTGTTAAAAGAGACTATTGAAAGAAGTAAAACCTGAATAATCTGCTCTTAAATAACAGAATTAGCTGCCCACCAATCACAGCAGCCACAGCTGTGATTCCCTGTTGGTAGCCCCACACTGCCATGCTGAGCCTGCCCCCAGCATTATTCATGGAGCAAGGCTGGCAAGTGCTGACTGGTTGCAGGTCCAATGGGAACCACTGCTGGGAAGGAAATGCTAGAGAATAATTGGCAGACTTTTCAGTTTGGTGAGCAGTGTTCACTGTGCCCTGCTGAAAGTTTTGTCTGGCAGAGACTTGATGAGTGATTATGACCAGAGTTTGACCTGAGTCACTTGGAGCCTGACTTCGTTAGCTCTCACCTTCTGCAAAAGCACCCCCAGTTTTAACACCCTCAGCCTTTATTCGTTTTTTGTCTTTTTGAGACAGGGTTTCCCTGTAGCCCCAGCTGTCCTGGAACTCACCATGTAGACCAGGCTGGCCTCGAACTCACAGAGATCCACCTGCCTCTGCCTCCTGAGTGCTGGGATTAAAGGCTTGCGCCACCGTGCCCGGAAAGGCTTTATTCTTAAATTTGTGTCAGATGGAATTTTGTCCCTCCCCCTCTCATCCTTAGCACTCAGCTCATAGGTCACCTGCTCCTGGAACCCCCCCTTAACCTTACACTCTTATCTTCTTCATGCTTTTCAGTCCTCTTTTCCAAGCTTCCACAAAATATACTCAATGTCCTGGGCCTGCCTTTTTTTATTTTTTATTTTTATTTTTTTTTAAGATTTTAAGACTATTATGCTAGCTTTTCTTTGTTGTTGTTTTTTGTTTTGTCAATTTGACACAACCCAGAGTCACCTAGGAAGAGGAACTTCAATTGAGTAATTTTCCAGCTCCAACTGGACTGTGACCGTGTCTGAAAGAGACTGGCTTGATTGATAATTGAGAGGGCCCACCCCACCTGTGTGCAGAGCCATCCCCAGGCAGATGGGCCTGGGCTGGAAAAGGAGAAGAGAGGGAGGGCTGAAATAAACCCTTTCCTCCCCTAAGTTGTTTGTGTTTATCACAGCAACAGAAAAGCACAGTAGAACAACTATTTTCTTTTGTTGTTGTTATTACAGTTTTGAGACAGA